ATCAGGCTGTAACTCCCATAGGACATGTTCATATTTTTTTCTGTGGATACCTCCTAGCCAGCTTCTTTGAGACAACTGTGTTCAACAGCAACAGTCTATGAGATTAGATAATATGGCCAAATCTAGCAATGGCCAAATCTAGCAGTGGCTCAGCTAGTAAAATCTCATACATCTCAGTGGAGTTTTGGAAGATGCAGGAATTAGAAAGAAACACGTCTCGCTGAAGACATGGAAATATTTATGAAGAGGGGGAGAGAGAGAGAGGTTTGTTGCTTTCAGCTGCAAGTGTTTCAATGATTCATTCACTCCATTTGCATGATCATCATTGATTTCCAAATTTCCACCCTTTCAAACTATAAAACTGTGAGGCAGAGACATCAGATAATCCAGCTGCCTGAAATGCTTTGCTTGGTTGGTTTTTGAACAGCTCAGCCTTTTTTTTCTTTCTTTTTTTTAATAAGTTGAATGAATCTTACATTATGGACAAATTGACTGTAGAGAATGCCTAGAATAAAAAAAAATAGGCCAGCATTTCTGGACAATGGGAAATGCAGGAAGAGGTTTTTGTCTGATCCATAAAAAGTTGTTTGCTTTGGGCATAAGTGGGGATAAGGCAGGACAATGCACACCTGCAGAATGACAAAGAAATCTATCACAGCATAGCAGTAATCAGAAAAAATAATAACCACAAAGTATAGGTACTTTGTGACTATAAATCATATCTCAGTCTTCAGAAATGTATTGCCAAAATTCATTCTCCAAATTATCCAGGTAAGACTGGCAAAAATTCATTCTCTGTTATTAGTTTAAACAATGAAGCCTGCTGGACAATTTGTTTGACACAATGAAAGGGAACTCCTGATGATAAAGTTACTTGTGGTTGCTACCACCCCTTGTCTTCTCAAAAGCATAGTGAAATAAATGCCATGTCACATTATTTCATGCAGGGTTTCTCCACCACTATTCCAGTTCATTGCCCCACACATTCAAAAGGAGTGGAAGCTATGAATGAGATTGTGTATTTTAGAAGGAATTAGAAAGATATCTGTCTTCACAAGTGTCCCTTTTCATTTGTGGAAAGATTGGGATTAGAATTGGATGAGTTCATTGTTTTTGTTCTGTATCCACATCTGTCTAAGTTTGCATTCCAAAGCTGGTTTCCCAGTAGCCTTGCTTCTCCTTCTTTTTCAGTGCAGTTCTTGATGTTGGGGATATGTCTGGAAGATTAAAATACATTTGAGTACCTGATTGCTAATTAATAGTTTATATCTCTTTTTAGCCATTATTATTTTGTTTTTGACATCTTTGTTGGCTTATAGTATTCTAGAAGAATCACACTATTTGAGGTGGACAGTCCTACAAGTGCTTTTAATTCATTAATTAAATTGGACTCCTACATAGATCTTGTTACTGAACTTCCCTCCAGACAGCACTTTCCCAGAGAATTGTCAGTCAGAATCAGAAAAAAAGTAATTTCTTTAATAATTTACATTACATTGGCTATTTCCCCACCCCACTCCAGCAACTGGATCACTCTTTATTTGCTAATATTGCTCATTTAGAACAGCAAATATCAGCGTAAGAACTGTCCAAGTCCCTGAACTTATGGATATTGCAATATGTCATGCATCCAAACTACTAGCATCAAGTATATGTAAGAAATTTGCTCATTCAAATACGATTTGCTGTTTAGTTCATAATCATATTCTGTCAATGCACACCTTTTATTTTATGAGTAAAACTGAATAAACTATGATTTCTCAGCTTGTACATGAGGAAAGCTGGGGCCTTACTTGAATGATCACTAATTTGAACTAGCAGTAAAGTAGTAAATTCTTGCATAAAACAAAATTGCAAGAGAGCAAAGCAGCATCAGTAAGAACTGTCTGGGTTAATGAGATTCATGGCTGAATGGCAATAACCACAATCTTTTTCAAATTGCAAAATTGGGGATAACCTTTTGATGGGAAGCATTTATTGCCTTTCAGAAAAATCCCAGGGGGTGGAATCCCAATGACTTTGATATTATTGGCATATGGTCATAAGAGAGATCAGGAAAGAGATTGCTGTTCCTGTCAATGGAGATTCTCAGTCATCCCGCCCATGGTTGTCCCAAAGGTGCTTTTTTTTCCCCCAAAAAAAAGGCAACTGGACTTTCTTGTTGTTCTTTGAAGGCAATTCACTTCTCACCCAAGAAGTTCTTCAGCTCTGAGCTGAAGAAGCTTCTTGGATGAGAAGTGAAATATCTTCAAAGAAAAAACAAAGTCCAGTTGCCTTTAAAAAAAAAGAAGAAGAAGAATTTCGGGGACAGATTGCTATACCGTAGAGGCAAATCTAGATGTGGGTCACTGGCCTGAAACAGAAGGCTAGTGTTCATAGGCTGATGACCAAAATATTATTACAAGGCAGCAAACTTTGATTCATGCTTTTGGCTAGCCATATTATGACTGAACTGACAAGAATAGTGAGCTATTGCTGACAATCTAACTAAGAATTCTGCAGATGTGAAACTCAACCCTTTCTTGAAACAATTATTCAAGTCGATTCTGGCCTTAACTTAAAAGTTCAGTCTCTAATTAAAGGCCATGACTGTCTTTTTCTTCCTGGTACTCTTTAATAATCTGTTATTCTTTCATTATCATCATCATCAATGCAACTATCACCACCATTATTATTCTCCTGTAAAAGCCCCTTTAGGATTAGTTCTTTGCATGTAGTAATGGTGAGGGCAACAAGTTAAACCAGTGGCTGCAACTGAGCTCTGGTGCTCAGAAAGCATGTCTGTAATTGAAATCCAAAATTCCTTTTGAAAGGAAACAAGATACCAATTAAACCTATTATCTTTGTTAAAGAGCAGGGAGAACACCCTTGATGCATTGCAAGTGGGCGAAATAATAGGCTGTTATTTCTAATCTTGGAGTATCAGAGTCACTGAAGGCAGCAGAAAAAGTTGCCTTCTTAGAGGAATGTCTCAAGAGACAAAGAGGACTGGACACTTAATGAGAATACTTCCTTTGTATTCTTAACTCAATGGCAGATCTTTCCACTACCCTGAAACAATGACAGTTTACTTAGTGACAGCTTGTAAACAGGCCTGTCAAACTATTCCAGGGATGGCTTACATTTTCAATATCTCTCTGGACTTGATCATGCTGTTACTCTGGCCAGTTCTAGCAAAGTCATTAGGTAGAAATAAGTGGGAAACTGGTAGAAAATAATGGTTCCTTTAATCAAAGTGACAGCATTGGGCACTTGGCCTCTCCCTACAACAGTGTTGATACCAGGGTGGCTCCACTAAGCTGTCACTCATTGTAATCCTTGGGTGGCTCCACTGATTTCAAAGCCATCTGCACTGATAAAAGCTTGAAATACAACTTTAGGGTTTCCACGACTATTCTGATGCAGTGTGACATGGCTGTAAAAGAAAAAGAAATGTCCTGGAGTATACTTTCCAAATGATGGGAAGCAATAGTTCCACTTAATTCTGCTTCAGATAGGCCCATCTTGAATACTGTGTCTAGTTTTGAGCATTGTGCTTTAAAAAATTAGAAAATTTTCTGAAAAAGCAAAAAAAAGGACTAGAAGCTAAATCCTATGAAAGGAGGTTGAAAAAACGGATTGTTTTTAGCACTGAGAAAAAAACAATTGAAGAGGAATGAAGTAGGTCTCTTGAAAGGATAATACGTAGAAGAAAGTCAAAACCTCTTCTTCCTTATTCCAGAGTGAAGGACACAGAATTATGAATTTAATTTACAGCACATTCCAACTGAATGTTAATTCATTTGGATATTTCCAGCAGGAACAGGTGTTTCACAGTGGATCTGTCTCAAATTGAAATGGCTCATTAAAATGTTATGATCATCAGCAATATTTGGTAATAGCTGAGAAAAGTTTTTTATTAATTAAAATATTTTTTCAAACAACATAAAAATATAATGACAAAAACAATCCTTCCTAGGAAAGAATTATGCAGATAAGGGAATATCAAAATAATATCACTCAAAATCCCTCAATTTTCCAATGTTACAATCCCAATGCTATGGCAATGTTTTCTTTTTGCAGAAAATGTTCTATTGTGTTCTGTTATGATGATTGCAGGCTTCAGGTAATCTTAAAAATCATATTACAAAATGAAACAGGCAACAAATCTATTGAAAGGGAATCAGGGGGAAATAAGAAAGTGAAATATTTATGAATGCATATAGCTGATGTTGTTCAAGAAGCATAATAAAATGTAACATTAAGTCTTGCACAGAACGATACACTTAGATTACTACAGGATTCTAATCTCAAATTGCTTTAATATCTCTGAATTTTCCTGCAACAAAGCACATAGTGGGAATCTGGATGAAATTATAAGATAAGATGGTAGAAAATTGGAAGCCTAAAAATTAAAAGCAAATTTCAGGGGTATCATGTTATATAGTTACTTCAGTGTTTATACTTTAGAACAAATCAAGCCAATAAGCCCAATGGATCCATTAAAATATTTTTAAAATGTTTTAAAATGAAAGATATAGAAAATGCAAAATATTAGTGTTATAATTTACAGGAAATTCAAAACCATATGGCATAGTCTATTGTGGAGAAGATAAATTTAGCACAATAATGCAACCACTGAAATCATTTAAACTTTCTTAAAAATAAGAGGAGGCATGTAAATAATTAGGTAGTATCATATAATTATAAGTGGTACATCTCCTTGATTTGAAACCGTATTTATCGCAAGATTACCATGATGTTTTATGAAAAACTAATAGCAAACTTTAATGTATGGTTGGAATATAAAGTCATAAGACTTTTAGGCAAAAATCTATATTAAATTTATCCAATCAATCATGTGCAATGGAAAATATGACATAAATTACAGTATTATTGCCAAATTTTGATTCATCTAAATCAAAGAAACATCACTTTTCTTAGACAGTCATGTGCTTGGCTAGAACACTGGCATGTGGATATTTTGTTCAACAACTCTTTGTTCTTACTTATTTCTGTAGGCAGGAGGGAAGCACTACCATCCCACTTGTGCCAGATGTGTACGATGTCACCAGATGTTCACAGAAGGGGAAGAAATGTACCTCACAGGTAGGAACATCTATTGGAGGCAAAAGATCTCATCAAGAATTAAAAAGTCTGCCTCTAATCCATGAGGGGCAAATTTAATACTCGTCCTTGCAACTTAAACATGATATGAACATTTTTTAAGAGCCATGCTAGGCCTCACTGAAGAACATTCAGTTTTTCATTGTGATAGACTCAGGTTTTATTCGAGAGAAATTGATTAATCTTCTCTAAACATTACATGAAACTGGAATTTCTATTATCAATCCCATTTCAAGGAGAACATTCTGAAATCTTCAAACAGAAGGCATTTGACTGAATTTAAGACAATATTTTACTTTTCTGATTGCAACATTCTGATTGTATTCACATGTTCATGAAATATCTAGTTGCAATAAAAAATGAGTGACTAGATCTTAATATAAGGTTAGGATGTTCTCCTCCCCGTTCATCTATTTTCAGCTTAGAGAGGGAGTCTCATAGACAGTTGTTCGGTGTTTGACATTGTGAGTCACTAATTACCCTTTGTATATCAACATTAATTGTTGGGCTGGGTTTTTATCCCCCACCCTCACACTCCAGGAACTGTTGCCCTAGTTGCTGTCAGGTTTCTGTGTGGGATGGCAATTAACAATTGGTTTGTTTTAGAGGAGTGGAGGCATTATTAATGCCTCCTTGGCTGATCAACTAGTAGGAAGCCTGCCACAGTGATGGGCATGAATTTTCCAAACTATTGCACTTTCCCCAATACTGCTTATGAGAGCAGTGCTGCATGATCTTCAAGGACATCTAAAATTGAGGATCCTGTGAGAAGATGGAAAGTGGTGGGGATGGTGGAGAAGCTAGAGATGTATTCTTCTCCTTATGAGACTGGGGTGATTCCATGGATAATAAAAGATAAACAAATTGCTTGCAAAAACATCTCCCCATTTTGCTCCCTAGCCATCTAAATGGAACTTTACAGCAAATGTCAGGTATGGTGATCTTATATTGCTGTAATTTAAGTCAATTAAATTTAGAAACCTCCATGTTCAAAGAAGCCATATTCATTCAGTCTTCTATCTTAGAACAAACAAGAAGAGCAAAGGTAATCAGAGTAACCTTGGAACACATGTACTGTCTAAAAGAAATAAAGTCATAGCAAGAGAAGCAACAGGAAGGGACCAAGATGGAAGGTTTCTAATAAAGAATCATTAGGACACTTGAGAACTGGTTCTAATGTTGAATGGATATCATTTTTGGGTTCTTCTACATAGTCACTGATGTTACTTTCCAAGCCAGTATTTGCCATCCTCAAAATGCTCACTACTTCCCATGAGATGGCCAGTGGCCAGTGGTAGAAAAATAAGTTCTTGTAGAATTCCCTCCATCTTCCTCCAATGTTCCTTGTTACCTCCTTGTGTTTACCTTCCCAAACAACAATCTGGTCTTTAAAAAACACAGTGAAAGGATGCCAAGGTGGCTTGATCTTAGCAGGGAGAAAGAGAACTGGGGAAACAGGAGGTAAAAGTTTTAAAACGTTACTACCTTTGGAAAACCACCTGCTGGACAGCTTCAGGGTTTACAGGTTTCTCCCAGTGGAGTCTCCTGCATCGCAGCTGAATCAGATTCAGTAACTAAATCGGTTACTCACCTCGTCAACAGAAGGCCGATGGCATTATGGGAACACAACATATGTGATCCTGATCATGGGTTGAACACAAGCCATTTTTATTTATTTATTTATTTATTTGATTTGCCAATTGTTTACAAGATAATAAGTATAAGTGTATACATAGTTGTGAATACATGAAATGGGTACATATAAGAAAAATAAAAGAAGAATAAGAGAAACAATAGGACAGGGACGGTAGGCACATTGGTGCGCTTATGCACGCCCCCTACAGACCTCTTAGGAAAGGGGTGAGGTCAATAGTAGACAGTCTAAGGTTAAAGTTTTTGGGGTTTGGGGAAGAAACTACAGAGTCGGGTAGAGTATTCCAGACATTGACCACTCTATTGCTGAAGTCGTATTTCCTGCAATCAAGTTTGGTGCGGTTAACTTTGAGTTTGTATCTATTGTGTGCTCTTGTGTTGTTATGGTTGAAGCTGAAGTATTCATTGACAGGTAGGACATTGCAATGTATGATTTTATATACCATGCTTAAATCAGACCGAAGACGGCGTAATTCAAGGTTTTCTAGTTCTAGAATTTCAAGTCTGGTGGCATAAGGTATTCTACAACGAGTAGAGGAGTGGAGAACTCTTCTTGTGAAATATTTCTGGACTTTCTCAATTGTGCTAATATCAGATACGTAATGTGGGTTCCAGACTGATGAACTGTATTTGAGTATTGGTCTAGCAATAGGTGGAGGTGCCTTCTGTCCCATTCAGGGGGAATTGGCAGACTGTCCAGCAAAATTATTTTCATCTTTTGCAATCCAAAACACACTTTTCAGGCTGTAAAAATGGGAGCTGGCTTTTCTCTTCTTTTTTTGTCCTGTCTCAAGCAATTCATTCGACTTAAGAGTCTCTGAAAAATTATCCAGGAGGATGGAAAATGTCTCTGAACACAGAGAAGCTGATCTAATTCAAACTGCATAGAGATCTTTGTATCCATAAGATGAATAAGAAACAAAAAAGGAGAATGGTTGTGATGCTACAATGACCTCTATTATCATGCAACCAATTTTGAAATTTAATACACTAAAAATATTCCTAGGAAGATATCTGGACACAATCTTGAAATATGTGATGTGATAATATACTGTAGTATCTGCATTATATTTCTTTCTAGAATCCTTCAAGTGCATGTGATAATACAAGTCAATCATCATCATTATCTTTTAATGACCCCATAATCCCTTGGAAGGTGGAGTTTGGGAAAGTGAATGGAGCTGAGTAATTATTGGCCAGATGCCCTTCCTGTCACCAATGTGGAGTTATATTCAGCAGATATATTCCCATCGTGCCCAGAGAGAGAAATATTTGCCTCTACCTAGGATCTAACTAGGACCTCTAGGCCACCACACCACTCTGATAGTACAAGTCAAAATCACCCATAAATCAAGACTAGGGAACACCATCCCTAAGTCTGAAAGCCTTCTCTCTCTTATGTAGCTCAGAAATGCAAGGGAGGCTAGAAAATGGGCACCATTAGATTGACTATTATTCATTACATACATACATCAAAGACACAATATGAATAAGAAATGGAAAAATATATGGATGCACAATATATGTAAATAAATATTCTGCCAACAAAACCAAAATGGTTTATCACGCTGTATTTTTTTACATGGTATTGTCTATTCTTCTCAAAGCTAGCTCTTACATAAATCATTGTTACTAGACCACCTTAAGGGCATTTTTATTTATTTATTTTGCTTACCCATATTAGATCTTTGATTCATTCTTCTGTCTCTTAACATACCTGATTCTTCTCTGTTGTTCCAGCTTTTTGTTCTCATTTCCAACAGGCAATATGGCCGGTTTGGGAAATATCCAGGAGTAAAGACTGATTCAAAGTTTATCTAAACAATTGGTGCCCGGCTGTATTTATATTACAGCCTTCCATCAACTTTTCTCAGTCAGTCAGACCTAGAAAGATGTGATAAGCCCAGAGCTGTGAGGGAGAGACAAGAAGTACAATTAAGTTCCAGTGGAAGAGAATATATCTTATCTGGCTACTGTAGTTAGGTAAGAAAACATCTATAAGCAAACAACCAAGCTCAGAGACCACCAAGAATTCCACTATCAAATTAAGCTGCACACCTCCAACAAAGATAGTATTTTGTATGAGGTCATTAATTCATAGTCTCCTCTAAATGGCCATCCTTGGTTATTTTATACACCAATAAGGGAACAGTAGCTGTGAACAGTATCAAAAATTCAGTATTTTGTTCATTTCTACCAATTACTGAGACCTAAAACTCTCAAAGCATTTGACAGTATTTATTTGTTTGCTTAATGCTACATTGGCAATGAATGCTCCTAGTTTCTCCACATTCCCCATAGAATGTCAACTAGCATAAAGCCGAGAGACCAGCCTTCATTCTTCTTTTGCATTCTAAACAGAGAGACTTGCCTTATTAGCTTTCCCATTTTACCCAATAGTACTGATTTTTACAGCTTGGCAGGATGGAAAACCATTTTATGCTCCCCCATTGGTCAGCTGGAAGGGGTTATTTGCATTCTGAACTGGGCTATGTTGAAAACCACTCTGGGTCACTTTGAAATTTTCTTTAATGGTCTGGGGAATTAAAATGATGACAGTGGGCAAAGGACCAAGTTTTCCTAGTGCCTGTTTGCAATTCAAAAATAGTCCAATGCAATCAAATCTTTGGAACAAAAATACCCGTGGTGTTATCAGCTGACAAAAATCAAGGGATCTTCTTGCAAAAAAAGGAGCACCTGCTTATAAAAGAAATATTAAAAGATTTTGATGGTATTTTTTCTTTATGATCTTAGGTGATGTTGGGTAGGGTAGACATGCAGATGGGCAGCTTGTAGTTCTGACACCTCTTCCTCCTTTGCAGGTTCAGAAGTATGGCATCCTATCTGCAAACAAGCAGCAAGAGCAGAAAAGAAGCTAAAGGTAAAATAAAATTGGGGAAGAGTAGTTAGTCAAATTTTACTTGTGGATGCTGGTATTAGCTAAGAAGGGTACACTGCAAGTTAGCCAAATGATTTATTTAGATAAATGTGAATAGAAATAGATCTGAATTTTAGGATCTGAACTCTTGTGTGCACGATGAATAAGATAAAAATGATATCTTTTCAGTTATAGTCAAGGGATCTAAACCATAACTATGTTCTTGATACCTGTTCCTGAAATTTATATATTCTGACTGTCTTTACCAGATTCTGTTGTAAATTGATAATATGAAACCAAGATTCTCATACCTCTGCATTTGCTTGGTATATGTTCATTGTCTACCTGAAATGCACAGCTTCAAATCTAGGTGTAACACCAGTGTAGCTATGGTAACCTCATTTTTGGTCTAAGCTGCAAATTTTATACATAATATTGTACAGCTGCCATCTTTCTATCCAGGCCCATACAATAGAATTGTTTTGTGTAGCCAATCTAGCCAGTTATCAAGGAGAATGGGAGACAATTTCCTGGGAGACTCAGGACAAAACTATACATTACAGAAGATGTTTCAGTTTCATACACAAAATTCCTCACTCTACAAGTAGTCCTCGACTTACAACAGTTTGTAAGTGACCAGACTCTTTAATGACCGTTCAAAGTTACAATGGCACTGAAAAATGTGACTTATTATCATTTTTCATACTTATGACCTTGGCAGCATCCCCATGACCATGTGATCACAATTTAGATGCTTTATTCATATTTATGACCTTTGCTGTGTCCCAGGTCACGTGATCCCCTTTTGACAAGCAAAGTCAATAGGGAAGCCAGATTCACTTAACAACCAGGTTACTAACTTATCAACTGCAGCGATTCACTTAACTGTGGCAACAAGAGTCATAGAATGGGGCAAAACTCACTAAACAAAGGTCTCAATTAACAACATAAATTTTGGACTCCATTATGGTCATGAGTCAAGGACTACCTGCACTGTGTCTTTTCCTCAATAGTATCTAGGAAATAAAAGAAGTTGCATTTCTTCGTTATAATCAGTGATTGCCAATGGCATGCAATGAACTGGAGAGCACAGGTACCAACCGGTTGGGTTTTACCAAATGTTTCTGGAAAGTAACATATTGCGAAAGGAAAGTTGATGACAGCTCATCTACACTATAATATCTTGTTCGGCCCTCCAGCATACTAGCTTTCGTTGAAAGTAATTGAGGGAGATGTAAGGTGTAGTAACTGATAGCTTTGGCTGGAACATTTAATTTTGAAATTGAGTGTTTATGATATGCATGGAATGAGGAAGTGAGCTAGCAGCCTAGAGTGGCAAGTAGCAAATGCAGCCAAATATACACAATAGGGATTAAGGCTTTTTGAGCAGAAGGAAAAGAGCAGAAGGTACAGTATGTGACTTTTCTGCCATTACTATATTGGCAACTCTAGTCAGCATAAGTTGAAGTTTTTCTTCAGTGTTATGAGTAAGCAAAGTCTAGGAAACTTTAACAAGTATCTTGTCGGTTTCTGTGTACACAGCACAGAAGAACTTCAGAGACATCCATATCCCCTCCTGGCTCCAGCATTGGTTCCCCCAACCGAGTCATTTGTGTAAGTATACCCAACATGGGGCAGAAGCAACATGGAAAACCAAGAATTGAGGTTGGCAGCCCCCCCCCCCACCCACCCAAATAGGAGTAATTTGGAAATGCATGCCCTGTGAATCCCAGAGGAGATGAAAAGGAGAGAGCAACCAATAAAATAAAATAACTATTGAGGATTGTTCCCTTTTAGACTTGGAACAGGTTTCCAAGCCAAATTTGTGCCAAGGAAAGCATTTGGCAAGTTCAGTCTGAGTTGTCTGTTCCTATCCCTGAATATCTGTCTGCTTAATGCCACTATGCCTTTGAGCATCATCTGTCTTACAGAAGAACTCAGATGCATGTAGTCAAAGCAAAGGCTGGCACCACTTTCATTCCTGAGCCAACTGCTCCTTCTTCTGCTTCATCTACATAGGGAAAGCTCTAGCATTCCCTTCAAAATGCCTTCCTTTCTTCTTTTCACCTTCATCATAAGTACCTGTCCCTGTTTTCTTCTGAAGTTTCCTTCAACCTTGCATTCTGATGTAATCTTTCTCCTTTGCATTTCAAGTGCCTGTTCCTTTTCTTTCTGTGGTTGTCTATTATATCTTTCCCTTTCCATAGGCTAAAGTGGATAATGAAATCCTTAATTACAAAGATTTGGCTGCTCTTCCCAAGATTAAAGCCATCTACGAGGTGCAACGCCCTGACCTCATTTCTTATGAACCTTATCACAGATATACTTCAGATGAAACACTGGAGAGATATAGCTATGGAGAGGTACAGTTTCTAAGCCATTTCACCTGGATTGTACACAATGAATGACATCTCTGTTGGAAGCAGAGACTTGTCTATATCCTCTGGCTGTAAAACCCATTAATTTCAATGCCTGAGATTCATAATAACTGTCTCTTACTCCAAAAAAGGAAACATTTAAAATAGTATCCAGGTGAGACTGAACTGAAAGCATAGATTCTACTATTTGCACGGAAAACACAAAAGTACTTTCCAAATATAGATTGGAAAGTGGACTGAGGACAAACATTACACCACTGTTTATTTAATCACAGATGGTTGCTAAATCTTAAGTATACACAATGCCTGGATAGACAGAACATACAGAACCAAACCAAAAAAGCCACATGAGGAGTTTGCATATTATTCATTTGGAGTAACAATTGACCAAGGTTGAATCAAATAAGAATTCGCTTGTGGTTAATAGAACAAGCACAAAAATTATGCCTCAGTTTCAAATGCACCTGGACAGCTCTTATGTCCAACACATCAACGCCTCCTTGTTGAATTGAGAAGGATGGATGTCTCAGAGGGTGCAGTGGAAAACGAGGCAGATCTGCTAGTGTGAGTCTGTTCTTGATGGGGCTAGAGATCAGATTCTTACCTATCTGGAAATGTTACTGTGCTATGTGCAGTCTGTTTGTAAAAGCTTTTGCTTTTGCTTTAGGTTACTGGTGGGGTACATGTCTAGGCTGAGCCAGTCCAGTGTCAGCCTTCTGGCTTCTGCTGAAAAAAAAAAAAGAATGGATAATTAAACGGAGGGGTTTCTGACAGAAGCATACCGGATCTTTGGCAGAAGACAGCACTTTTGGACTGATACAAGGCAGTGTGATTTTTAGTAATAGGCAACCACCCTTTACCAGAAATATTTCACAGCAATAAATGACTGAAGCAAGAAAATAAATACAGCTCCTCTTTTGGAAAGGCAGTGAAAAACTCAGGCCAGAGACACCATGTTAACTGGCTCCTTATTAACCATCAGATCAGACCACAAATTTGTTAAGCTCCTTATCCCAGTTTCTCACAGATGATACCCATTGATCCAGCTGCACTCATATATCTCATTGGAGACTGGAAGCGTGATAGAAAGAATCAATGAGCCCTATGTTCCATCTTTCCCTGGCAAATGAAGGCATGACCTTCACTCCTGGACAATTTTTGGAATTACAAAGAAGTGCTATTAGTAAGGAAGGCATGACACCTTTGTTTTAACATCTCCAAGGAAGCCAGGATATTTTTAAATCAAGCAAAATGAAACATTTGAAGAAACTTAAAGCAGAGCTTGGCAACAACAGTATCCTTGTTTAAAATATTGTGCAGAACGGGAGGTATAGCTTTGTTTTATATATATAAACACTTCTATAGTTATGTTTTTAACCTGCTGTATTTTGTATAAAAGAGTCCCATGAGTTAGGGTTAGAGTAACCCTAACCCTAATCCTAATCCTGAAGGGTATACAGAAGCTACAGATGGTGCAGAATGCAGCCCTGCATTCAGTTCTAGAGTGACCCATGTAATACCACTGTTGCACAAGCTGCACTGGTTGCTGGTCTGTTTCCAGGTCCAATTCAGGGTATTGGCTAGGACCTTTAAAGTCCTTTATGGCATTGGTCCAATCTACTGAGGAACCATCTCACCTCAATGTTATTGGTCTGCCCCACTCCTTCTGGAAGAAGGGACATGCTGTAGACTCCATTGGTCAAAGAATTCTGCCTGGCGAGGGTCAAGGAGAAGGGCTTTTTCTGCTGTGGCTCCATCCCTTTGGAACACCATGCCGCTTGAGACGAGATCCACCTTCACCCTCTCAGCCTTCTGTAAGAGTCTCAAAACCTGGCTCTGTCGACTGGCCCCAATGAGGGCATTCCATGTTGCAGGAATGTTGGTTAGTGGACTAAAGAGAAGATCCACCTCATCGTGTTTTGTTTCTTTGACGTATTTAATCTCTGTTCATTTTAATATTTAATCTTTTGTACTTTTGTCTTCATGGTGCTTGTAAGCCACCCAGAATTGCTTGACAGTGGATGGGTGGCATATAAATTAAATAAATAAATGAACAAATAAATAAAATATTTCATTATATTTATCCATACAAAGTTTACATTTTATGCAATATGCTTATGCATTACAAGTGTAATCAAATTTTCAATCCATTGAATAAACGGAGCCATATGTTTATCTTTCCAATGTTGCAATATGAGTCTTTTAGCCACAGTAAGGGCACAGAGAATCCATTACATTGTCCAGTTGTCCAATTCCATGGATGAGGAGTAAATCAAACTTGATAGGTATTGCAACAATACGAAACCCAAACATATCCCAGTACTACTTTTTCAGTTGTCATTCAAGTATCTAGTTTTCCCAAAAACTCTTTAGAAGACATAGGCTGTCCTTGTCTCTAGGAGTTGGCTCTTTTAAAGAAGGTGGATTGACACATTCTCAGAGTCCCTGGTGTCAGTGGGATGAGAGCAAGCCTTTTCTACCTTACTAGGGCGGTGCATTCCACCAGAAAAGGCAATTCCACACACATCCGTGTCCTGAACTACAAAGAACCCACATGTCTAACAACTTCAACTCCATCCAGAAACCTGCCAGGAACTAGGGTAGTTCCCAAAGTAATAGTGTAACACGGGTGAACCACAACACACTGATTGATACTCAACCCACTGCATTCTGAACCAACTGCAGCTTCTTAAGAACAGTCTGATGTACAGCAAATTGCAGTTATCCAAACATGAAAAAAAGCATAGGTAATTGTCTTCAATTACCTCCCAAGCTAGGAATGATAGTAAGTGATGCACAAGATAGTGTTGTATAACAGTCTCGTAGTCATGGCCTCTACTTGCTCTTCATAATTGTATGTCCTAAAGAACCCAGATTATAGATGACCTCTGCATAGGGGGACATAAAGTTGTCCAATGTCAAGGATGGTATTCTACTTAAATCCCTCAATTTCTAAACCTACAATCATGCTCTCTTGTTGGGATTGAGTCTAAATCCCTTTTTCTCCATTCAGTCCCTAATAGCCTCCAGGGACTGGGAAGGATCTTAACAACATCTCCTGTTCAGCCCAAGGTAGAAGTGTAAAGCTAAGTATCATCCATAGAGTGGATGATCTCTTCCAGTGGCCTAATAAGAGGATCAAATTATAAAACAGCCCATAAATCAGGGGTCAACTTCATCAAGGGCTGCCCCAATCACTAAGTTACTGTCAGTCATTCTCCACCCTCTTGTTCCCACTCTCCAGCTCTTGGATAAAGAACTGAATTGAGGATGGTGGATAGTTATATACTTAAGTGCTGGCTTCTGGAGTAGGGGTTGTATCAGAACCTCTTTCATACCTATACACCATCCCCATTTAACTATCTATTCTATCCTTCTGACTTCCTCTCTGGAGGGTTTTGGTCACTTGGAGAAGCGGGGATCTAATCCACAAGTAGCAGAGCTGATGTCACAGAAGACTCTATTTCCTTCATTAGGATACATGGGGAAATATTGCTCTTTTGCCACTCATCCAATCATGGTGTAGGCTTGATGGTGTATTGAGCACTTAATCTGTGTACCGTTGTAGTGACTTCTTTGGCAGCACTACTTCAGCTGCCTCTTGACACTCCAGAATGCTTCTTATTTGCACAGCAATGCAAACAGACCTCACTTACTGATTGGCTCATTTAGCAATCTTTTGAAATTATGATGGCCCTGAAAAAGCAATGACTTTTTCAGGCATTTATGACTGTCACAAGATGCTGTGGTCAGACAACTGCCATTTGTGTACTTCGCCTCTGGTTTCCAATAAACAGAGACAATGGGGAAGCCAGCATAAAATCACAAGTTGCAGTCACGTGGTTTCTCACTTAACAAGCTGTGGTGACTCATTTAATGACTCCAGTGGAAATGAAGCCATATGTCTGCCACAATTACATGATATCTTGCTTAATGACCATATCACTTAGTAACAAAATCGTAGTCATTAAGCAAGGACTACTTGTGCTCTGGACTATGCCTGTAACTTAAATGAACCAGATCGGTGCAATCAGACCTTCAGAAATGGTCTAAGGATTTTCTTTTTTTTAAAAAAAAGTGATACCACCTAATATTTTGCCTTTTGCTTTCTATTTCTGTATTTGAGCTAGTCCTACTTCTCCAAAGGAAATTTGTGCTAAAGACTTATTTTAATATTTTAAGGAGAAGCTTGTTAGTTTCAAAAATATGATTCAGAGGGAACCATGCAAATATTTAATCTCTACATGTTTGTCATACCCTGCTAGGAATATGTGAGTCTGATACAAGAAAGTTGTGGCCCTCCATTGTTCTCTTACATTCATAAACCAGCCCTTGTTATATTTTCCCACATATAATTGCTCTAAGAGAATCCCTCTAAGCTTCCTTTCTTACGTTATGTTCTACCTAAAAACTGAGTATAATATCTCAAGTTCTCTTGCATTACTTTCAAAAGGAGGTTTGTTCAAAGGCAAAGATTTGGTTCTTAGTGACTTAAACCGTTGTAAAAGGGAGAGTCCAGGAGAACAGGGCTCAATAGCATCTGATTAATCTAGGTTAATCCAGGCAGGCACATGCATCCCTTTGAGGTGACAAGAATATAATTGAACGGAAATGAAACCCTGAGCTGCCTTGTTGCGTTTCTCACAACAATGGGAAAAGTTATGGGATTGATCTTCTCTTTCTTTGGTGTTTTGGAATCTCTTTCTCCCAGATTTTCTCCTTGCCTTGGCAATTCTGAGAAGGTTGTAGTTTGGGGGAAGGTGAAATGGTTTGTGGTACAGAACCTTTAGATCAATCCTCTAACAACCAATTCTCTCTTTCTTTTCCTGCTCTTTATTCCCTGGCGGCTTGTCTCTGACCTTCTGTCACTTGTAGTCCCTTGGAACCTTGTCTCCATATTCTCAGGTAATCACACAATGCTTAGGACTAATTGGGGGTTTACATATCTGGGGTTACTTTGTAAGCTGAAAGAGAATTTGAGGAGAGCTGGGTTTGGAAAAAGCTGTGGAAGACCAAGGATCGAGCTTTACTGCTAAGCCTTGAGGTTATAAAAGAAGTCTCTCTGCCCCCACCATGCTATGAAATAAAAAGTGCTCTCAGCAAAAAGACAAAATGTCCTCAGTTGGGAAAGGAATATAATATTCAGAGGGCCAGGATGCATTGCTAATGTATATACACCTTGACCCTCCTGGGACTGGATCTTTTATGAACAAAGTTTTGCATTTTTTGCAGGATATTTATGAGAGCATGGACATCAGGCAGAGGCGAGCATCCAGTCCAGGCTACATAGACTCACCCACCTACAGTCGCCAAGGCATATCTCCCACCATCCCACGCTCTCCGCATCATTATTACCGCTCAGGTAGGGCATGACTGTCTCCATCAGGATTCTAATAGAGACCTTTGTCCAACGGAACTCAGCTTTAGTACATCCCTAGAAGGACAGACCAACTTCTCTCCAAGGGACACACATCTGCCAAAACATTTTCTATATCCAGAACAGGCCGAACATGAAATCAAAGAGACAAGGAGGGTTCCATACACTGTCATCCATTGCATAGGATCCATCCTTAACAGAATGGTAGGCAAATGCCTAGCTCCTTCTTTTTCTTTTTTCTTTTTAGCTGTCTTCGGGATGCCAATGAGTTGTGATGAACTTCACTCCATTATCATGCTCCGTTTTCTTTTTTTCTTAAGCAAATTCAGAGTGGCAATTCTGTGGCAGAGTGGAAATGGAAAGAAGCAGATGATGCGGGAAGCAGCAACTATGGATGTGCAAAATATTTGTCCTGAATTCAGGATGGGTTCTTCCAACCAATCCAATGGGGTTCTGAGCTAGGAACAGCCCTTTTGCCAACTCAGAATTATTACTTGTTTCCAAATTCAAAATCCGTGTTATTTTGAGTTTGAAATACTTTAGGAATGATTGGAACAACCCATGCTTCTTGTTATGTGTAAGAATCCGCACCATTATAATCACCACCTCCCTCCACCCATGTATTCCCACCATAAATTCACAGATGGCTTGCTAATTTTCTAAAATATCATGTTTAACACCAGTTTTCCTCTGCCTCTCTCTTTTCTTCTCTGCTGCTCCCTCCAATCTGCTCTTTCAAGGGACAGAGAGTGGACGCAGCTCCCCCTACTATAGCCAATTAGATGTGAGGTCTTCTACACCAACCTCATACCAAGCTCCTAAGCATTTCCACATTCCAGGTAGGCTCTGGAGGCCTCTGGCCAGCCAGGGAAGGAGTGCTGTATGGGATCTTTTTTGTTTTTTTAGTCTGCATGCTTGTACCAAGTATGTTATTTGCATGAGTAGTGCTGTTGCCAGCCTAAGGTAAGCTGGCCGCAGCAAGCTACAATTGCATGGTAGAGGCCATCCATAAACAAGACCTGCAGCCTTCTCTCCTTCTTCTTGAAAAACTCCCTTTCCTCTGCCCTGCAGCTTTTTTCCCTGCACAAAGGAAAGGCTGTCTTCTTCCTCACCTTCTCTTCTCCTACCTCAAGGACCAGAGAGCAAAGCTTGTCTAAGAGCTAAGAGCTTTTCTACACTGCACATCCTTGACACATAATTTATCGTATACCCCTCCTGCTCCCCTCAGGGCCCGCTGCACCCTTCCCCCAGATCTCTCTGGACTTGCCAGGTGACTGCTCTCCTGCAGTAGAGACCCAGGTAAGGGCCATGGCCCCACCCCTCCTGCAGAGGGGGAGGGAAGGAAGTCAACCTCTGTCCCTGATCAATGTGCAGGTAGAGAACGGAATGCCCTCCCCACTTGCCTGCCTGCACAATCTGCAACCAGCTTTGCTCACAAGGTAAATTGAGCCTCATTTCTTTGGTCAAAACATGTAAAGACCATTTCAATGCCAAAGCTGGCAGCTGTGGGAGCCCTCCTTAATTTACTCTAGAACAGGAGTCCTTGGAGTCTTCAGTTGCTCAACCCCTTCAAGAAGTTACAGATTGTCCATCAACCCTCAAGCATTTATTATATGAATATAATTTAATAAATACTAATTTATACTAATAGTACTATCAATAATAACCATAGCAGTAAAATAACAGTAATGGTTAGATCCACATCGACCACTTTGGAGAACCCTGGTCTAGAATTAGCACAAATTAGGACTGAGATTTATTCCTTTGACAGACATCTTCCTACCGGAATGAAACCACAGTCCATTTTCTAGGTTTCGCTCTTTGTCTGTACTGATAACTTTGGGCCAACAACAAAGTAAAGAAGGTGACTTCATTCTAGCAGTTTAAAGTTTGATCTAGACACGGAAGAAGCAGAAGCTCTTTATTTTCCATAGATCCCATTGGCATCCATTAAGGTCACACATGAAGAGTCAGTCAGCTGATAAACTTAATCATTGGGATTTGATTATTTTTCATTCATCTCCTAATCAAACTCCAGATGGATGTTGGTCCTTGTAGAAATGCTTGAGATGTACAGTTTGGGATTAAGTATTTTCACTTAATGTTTGTTGCAATCTCCTGACCTTAATGTATTCTGCAGGGAATCTCCAGAGATACCTAGAGCAGGAAGGTGAAACTGACCTGAATTAGGCCAGATCAGCTGATGTAATTGGCCTGAGTTGCCTTAATTGGCCTTCTAGAAGTTTCCTTGCCCTAGTATTTCCCTACTGAAACAGACATTGTGATGGCTACGTTCTTGTAGCTTTTGCTTGTGTCTTTTATGGATGGCCCTTTTGCCTATACATTGGATCAGCCCCATCAGTTAAGCTGCTGTGCTGGTAGAGAGTAGCTCCTAATCCCAGCTTGCTTTGCTTCTCTCTTCTTTGAAGAGAATATGGCTGACTCCTGGATGAGGATGGGGGTTTTTTTGTCCCTGTATCTCTAGGTAACCAATTCATAAATCATCTTGTGCCATTGCCAGACAAGGAGACAATGGCCATTAGTACCCACCAAAGGAGGCCTTCCCATCTCCTGAGCTGAAGCCAGCTACCAACTGTGCTAGAAGGAAAACTGTCTGCCTGACCCTGCATGCTGTCAGTAGTGAGCATGCTCCCAGCATGACCTCTTGTGCACGCACACATTCACTGTCTTAAAGCTGTTGAAATAGCACACAAAGAGGATTAATTCCTTCTCCCACCCCCACCCCCCACCCCTTTAAACCATCTCCCAACCTAAGTTCGCTCGGCAGGTATTTAAGACAAGGCTGTTTTTATTTTAAGATGGGAAAGTACCGAGACAAAGTAAGCAGGCAATGTAATCTTGGACAGGCAATTTTATTTGCAAATCTGGTGGTTCCTGTGATTAGTATAGGAATCATGCTAACCTTTTCTATATCATATATGTTTTTTACTTCTGCTGCCAAAATGATACGGAGAAGATTCCCACCACCCTTCTTCAAGAATGACAGGCAGGTTCCTGCATCTCTAAGCTACACACTCTGGCTCCTCTCTTTTGCTATCTCCTTCTTTCCTTCATTATTTTTCTTTCTTTGCCTCCAGCTGCTGCAGAGAGTAACATCTACCGGAAACCACCCATCTATAAAAGACACGGTACAGTTTGGGCATGGCTTTAACATATATTTGGGCATGCAACTTAGAATAAACCAAAGTCCTGCTTAGGTCTGGTGGTGTGCATTGGAAGTGGCTCAATAAACTATACAAAAGTTGGTGGCGGTGCCAGACCTGGACATAATAGACTTTGAAAAAAGAAGGAAAGTATAATGGCCTTTCAGAAATGTGAGAGGAGGGTTGAGCAGAAAAGTTTGGCTTGCTAGATCTCTTATCTTAGGGTGCCTCCATGTGTTCAGAAAAAGTAAACCCTCAACAGTGTAACTCATGCAGACAAATAGCATGTTGCTTTTAAGTGTATAATTCTTATTTTCAATTAACTTTTAAAACATAAGAATATGAGCTGGAGCAGGACCATATAGCTTACTGAGATCCTTTAGATGTTGTGGTTGTGCTACTGCTGCTCCTTAGCTTGAAACTCTGCAGTTTATGAAACTAGATGCTTTCCATGGAGGGAAGAACAAGAACCAAAGGGAACAACGTATTTTACAAAAGGACCTGAAAATAGAAGAGCAGGGGGAAAGGGAAGGCAGATTGAGAACTTTGGCAGGAGAGAAAACCTTGAACAGCAAAGTGAAAAATTGTGAATAGTTGTTTTAGAAAACAACAAAGAAGTATTTGTGGAAGGGGGGGTGATAACCCTATAGGATTTTAAATCTACATATTAGAGGGGTTTAAATAAGACCCAATTGTGTACAAGAAATCAAAGTATGTAATATGAAGAAGAGTCACAAGAAGTCAGAGTAATGATGGAAGTGTGTGATTTGGACAGCAGAATGTCAGATACAGGTGAAACTCGAAAAATTAGAATATCGTGCAAAAGTTCATTTATTTCAGTAATGCAACTTAAAAGGTGAACCTAATATATGAAATAGACTCATTACATGCAAAGGAAGATAGTTCAAGCCGTGATGTGTCATAATTGAGATGATTATGGCTTACAGCTCATGAAAACCCCAAATCCACAATCTCAGAAAATTAGAATATTGTGAAAAGGTTCAATATTCTAGGCTCAAAGTGTCCCACTCTAATCAGCTAATTAAGCCATAACACCTGCAAAGGGTTCCTGAGCCTTTAAATGGTCTCTCAGTCAGGTTCAGTAGGAATCACAATCATGGGAAAGACTGCTGACCTGACAGTTGTGCAGAAAACCATCATTGACACCCTCCATAAGGAGGGAAAGCCTCAAAAGATAATTGCAAATGAAGTTGGATGTTCCCAAAGTGCTGTATCAAAGCACATTAATAGAAAGTTATGTGGAAGGGAAAAGTGTGGAAGAAAAAGGTGCACAAGCACCAGGGATGACCTCAACCTGGAGAGGATTGTCAGGAAAAGGCCATTCAAAAGTGTTGGGGACATTCACAAGGAGTGGCCTTAGGCTGGAGTCAGTGCATCAAGAGCCACCACACACAGACGGATCCTGGACATGGGCTTCAAATGTCGTATTCCTCTTGTCAAGCCACTCCTGAACAACAAACAACGTCAGAAGCATCTTACCTGGGCTAAAGAAAAACAGACCTGGTCTGTTGCTGGGTGGTCCAAAGTCCTCTTTTCTGATGAGAGCAACTTTTGCATCTCATTTGGAAACCAAGGACCCAGAGTCTGGAGGAAGAATGGAGAAGCACACACTGCAAGATGCTTGAAGTCCAGTGTGAAGTTTCCACAGTCTGTGTTGATTTGGGGAGCCATGTCATCTGCTGGTGTTGGTCCATTGTGCTTCATTAAGTCCAGGATCAACGCAGCCATCTACCAGGAGATTTTGGAGCACTTCATGCTTCCTTCCACAGATGAGCTTTATGGGGATGCTGACTTCATTTT